ACCCTATCAAGATAATATTAAATATAAGCGTTTCATAGATCAAACATATAACCAAGGTATTCTAGCCGGTGTTTAAGACTATGGCGCCCTCTTGGTTTAATGTCGAACTCGTGACCTCACTTTTATGGAGATATGTCTTTTATTACAATAACTTATTTTAATATGGTCTTGGAACAATAAATTTTTTTGGCTGATGGAGTTGATCAATGGTCTGTTTAATAGTTTTACAAGGCTTTCTAATGCAAAGGATCCATAATACTATTGCAACTATAGAGTATACTCAACTTGTATTACTGCAAAATTATGGAATAGATTGAAGAAATGTGAAACTAAAACTTTAACTATAGAAGAAGGATGAAGGAATTACCAAAATAGAAGAGAGTTTTTAACCAAATATAATTATAAAGGAGGATTTTTTACAAGAGAAACTTAGGAAATTCTAGCTATCTAGCTTAACTTTCTAACTTTCTTATTGACTTAACTTCTTCCAGACTTCTTCCTTCTTAGAGAAGTAGCTTACAATTTATATATGAAAAAAGTAAAAATATAGTAACCTAATAGGATGAAGTCATGATTAAAGTCATGACCTTACAAAAGACTTGGACATAAAGCTAAAATAACTTTAAAAAAGTAAATATGACTCATCAATAATATAATATAAAGTAGACATGACTTGACTAAAAGTAGACTAGACATAAAGTTGGAGGTGACTTGACATAAAGTTGTCTTGATGTGAAGGCATCATTATCAACTTTTGGAGTTTTTTTAAGAAACTGAAAATTATCACACGTAATTATACATAATTGAACTGAAATAAAGAATCTTTTGTCTAGGAGCACCATGACTAGATTTTTGATTGGATCATCCTTATTCTTGGAAAGCTTCAAGGTACTTAAAAACTAGACAATCATCTACCCACTGGAATAGTTCTTGTTCAAAATATCAGGGTCTGAATCACAATATTAGAATAGGTGACTGTAGATCTTGTGTTTAGATCTTGTTCTAAGTTTGGAGAGATCTTTTTACATTTTGTCAGTAAGGGTTTGTTGGAAGTTGAGTTAGCTTAAAAAGGATGTGGAGATCAAGATTAACAAGTCTCTGAGATAAATGACTCCATCATGTGTTGTAGGGTGGTTCAGGGGTCCAATGTCTCAAGTGATTATATAATTCTTAGATATATTTTGAAGGGTACTACCACTATGGTTCCTTTTTGAAAGGAAAAAATTCTGCAGGAATTAAGATATTGTTGATTTTATAGAGTCTTTTTAACATGAGCTTATACTCATGAGCATATAGGAAGATAGATTCGTACAAAGAGTATGGATTGCACACATACATGTCAAAGTGGGGTTGAAAGAGGGTAAAATTATCTTAGAGTTCAAAAGGGCAGTGGAATAAAAAGATAACATAATAATTTTATGGAAGGTGTTTGGTGGCATAATACCATGTGTGAAGGGGTTTAAACCACTTCAAAAATTTTTTAGATGAATATCTATTTCATAAATAAAATCATTGTTGGCAAAAGTGACTGTGGCAAAATTGAGTTCAAAGGAGTTAAACTTAATGACAATAGTGTAGAGTTGGCATAAATACCATAAGAGAACCAAAACTTCTTTGAATAAGTCTGCTGTATGAGAAATCTGGAATAGGTGCAAAAAAAAATTGAAGGTGAAAACCAATGGGTTTGAGACCATGATCAACTCTTCTTCTGATAAGTATACCCTGCATATTATAAATAAGATCATGAACATGTCTTTCGATTGTCTTTCTTGCAATGATTTGCTGAAATTCAGAATGAAGGTTATAAACTAAAAAAATTGGTTGGAAAGCCAAATCTGGAACAAAAGGTTTGTATTTTTTGTTTTAAAGGTAAAGATAGAGAAAAAGATTGGTTACTGTTTGAGGAACAAGATCAAAATAGGGTGTAGGTAAAGGTAAAAAAGTCATCATGAAAATGATTAAAATAATCTACAAAGATTTCGAAAGAAGTTTTGGAAGAGGTCTGGTAAGCATGCTTGGGAAGATGTTGTCTTTATCTTTTATATGTGCTGTGGTAAAGGAGTATTATGAGAACCACTGAAAAAGTTTAAGTAATTGTGTATTTGACATCTGCTTCTTTTTGAAATTAAGCATCTTATCAAAGGTTGTGATTATCTAGTTTTCCAATATTTTATAAAATTTTCAGAATAAGGATGATCCAGTTATAAATCCAATCATGGTGCTCTTAGACAAAAGATTTCTTGTTCTAATCCAATTATGTATAATTACGTGTGATAATTTTTAATGTTTTCAAAAGACTTCAAAAGTTGATGATGATGCCTCTACATCAAGATAATTTTATGTCAAGTCACCTCCAACTTTATGTCTAGTTTATTTTTAATCAAGTCATGTCTACTTTATGTCATGTGATTGATGAGTCATCTTTATTTTTTTAAAGTCACTTTAACTTTATTTCAAGTCTTTTGTAAGATCACGACTTTAATCATGACTTCATCATATTATGTTACTATTTTTTTACTTTTTTCATGTATAAATTATAAGCTACTTCTCTGAAAAAAAAAGTTTGAAAGAAGTTAAGTCAGTAAGTAAGTTAGAAAGTTAAGCTAGATAGCTAAAATTTCTTAAATTTCTCTTGTAAGAAATCTTTCTTTATAAAAATATGTTTAGCTAAAAGCTCTCTTCTCTTTTGATAATTTTTTCTTCTTTTTTTTTTATAATTAAAGTTTAGCCTTGGCACTACTACTGCCACAATGTTAGAAATGGTATCAGAGCTTGCAGTTCTGAATAGAGAGAATAAATTATGTTTCTAATTATTGATTATTGAAATTGGATAGGAAAAGTCAAAAGAGAGTTTTATTTTCATGTATTTATCAACCACTAGTAATTCTAGTTCTCAACCCTCATATTTTAGATCTTCTTTTAGTTTATCTTTTCTCCTTTCTTTTGTACTTAAAAAGTTTTTTCTTTTAAGTTAAAATTTTGTATGAAGTAGATTATATCCCGAAAGAAAAAAAAAACCCAACAAATAGTTCTCCCTCTTGTAAATCCTTATATAACTTTCTCAAACTCCTCTTCTTCTCTTACTAGATCTATAAAATTTTTTGTAAAACCAAAATACCTAGCTTTAAAAGAGTATGTTCAAGTCACAAACTTTGATCAAAGTATTCTTCGAGTAAGAACTCAAGAGCACTTTGTTACTCTTTAGGTTCCAAAAGAATTTACTTAACAATGGTCAGAACAAAGATATACTCACATCCACTTTGGTCCTATCAGAGTAGCCTTGACCTTCTATGACAGAAACGATATTCTTGTCTGTACCAAAATGACATTGTTAGACATAAAATTTAAAGAATACAAGCATGCAGTACTTGGCATAGTTGAGATGACATTTAATGTAGGCACTATCTTTTTCACAGTCTTTCTAAATTATAATATCTTCTTATGATCTAACACTATTAGATGCTTTAAAAGTTCAAGTCTAGATTGTAAGAACTGAGATGAAATGACTCCAGACAATCTTTCACTACCATATGGCATATAAAGTTCAAGATCATACCATTAATTTGTTTATTTTTCATTTCGATGATACTGTTTTAATAAAGATGCAAACAATAGACAAGACTCCCAGACATGTTCACATTCTAAAGTAAATCTCAAATGAAAAACTTGCCACACTTCTCCTAAAGTCATGGACGATAAGTTATCAAAATATTTGAAAGCAAGATGAAATAATTCAACACTTTGATCCAACCTACAAGATAAATCAGAATGACATTATAACAATTGAGTTTAATCATAGCAAAAGAAAAGATGTTCCTTCTCCAATAATCTTTCCAACACAGTTCATGATGTAAAAATATCAAGTTGATCCATTACAAGTTTCAGTTACTTACTTTCAATCTAATAAAAGTCTTGTCTATGCATATAGATCTTTACAAGGACATTGTTATTGGAACATTGATTGTAGATGTGAAGAATGTCAAAAATATTTATACAGAAGTTTCCTGGATGATGATGATGATATTCCAAAGAAACAAAAGAAGAAAAAGTCTTCCCAGCAAAATCTCAAAGAAAAATATGATAATGGAGACCTTGAAATTGATCTCCTTAGTGAACTTTAAGGAAAATTTGATTATTATGTCATTTATCCTAAAAAAAAAAAAACATCCTTCCCAAACCTGCAAAACTCAAGCCATACAAAAATCTCCATGATGCAACTAAGTTTCCCATGTTCAGATTTCCTTTTTTTTTCAAGAATTTCACAAAGAACAATATAAGCCCATTCCAAAGATCCTAAACCCTATTGACAAAGATGAATACGAGAACCAAAAATGTGTTTCTCGTGCTGAAACAGTCTTAAATTGGCAAACTAAGAATTCTTTCCAGTATAATGCATATTTGTATAGAATTGAACACAAGTTGGACCAAGTCAATCATCATTTTGATCAGAGCCTTATTAATCTTCAAAACATTATTCTTGAAATTCAATCAAGGATAATAACTTTAGATCAAGAGCTCAAATATATGGTTAAAATCAATACTGAATTCACTTTTGCTTTCACTAAAAGAAAGAAATGAAAAGCTTAAAGATTTAACTTATAGATATTCAGAATTAGCTCCGTTAGAAACAACACCAATAATAAGCAGCCTCTAGTTACAATATCTTCACTTCACCCAACACAGGCATGCATGACACCCCTTATCAAGCTTATACCCCTCCTTCTCCTTACCAATATCATACTAAAATAAATTATTGTAGTAAAAAATATATCTTCAAAAAAATCAAGTCATTAGTTTGACGTTAAACCAAGAGGACGTTATAGTTTTAAACACTAATTAAAATATTTTAATTATATATCTGATCTATAAAATATTTATATTTGATATTATCTTGATAAAATAATCGATACGCATATTATTAAAATAATATCAAATAATATTGTTATATTGTTATGATTCTATCACTGAATAACTCAAAATTGAAACCATATATTACCGTACCTTTGGCACTACCTACCTTTGTGTAAGAAACTACCTTTTTTCACGCGTTTGTCGGCTCTGCAACTAACCGACCCGAAGCTCAAACGCCCAAAGGCCCAATATCAAATTGCTGTCTCGTAGAACCGCAAAGTAACAAGCAAGGGCATTTATGCCATTCATACTCCTTCGTTCCCCTCAGGCTTCAGCTTAATCCTATCCTTTGTTCGCAGGTCGGTGCCACTTTCGTTCCCAATCGTCTAAACCCTAACTAGAGAATAAAAATAATCGAAGGCCTAAACTCTAATAATCGTCGATTCATTCCGTCAAATGCTTGATTATCTGTAACAAATTACAATTTTTTTTTTATCAATGACGTCCTCGAAGAAATACTACAAGGAAAAAATCGCTCGTCGCAAGTAAGTATCCTTCTCTTTCTTATCCAATGATTCATTTTCTCTTTAAACACCAGAAAAACGAATTTTTGAGGCAATTTTTCCCTGAATTTCGGTTATTAATAGAATTCAGATGGAACCTAATTGTGCAGAGAGGAAAAAGCGGAAGAACCAGAGCAGCCAAAGTACAGAGACAGAGCTAAGGAGAGAAGAGAGGATCAAAATCCAGATTATGAGCCAACTGATTTAGGTTCTTTTCATGCTGTTGCTCCTCCTGGAACCGTTGATCTTCGGTGAGATTCTACTTTTTTTGTTTATGTTAATCCCTAATTTGATGCAGTTTTTTTATATTGCATTTTACATTTTTTTTTCAGTCGCTTTGCTTCTGTTAATTAATTTTGCATGGATATGTTAGGTCAGCCGATGCTCACAAGATATCCATCGAGAAGAGCAAGTACCTTGGAGGTAACGTGGCTTTGCACTGTTATAATTTGAGAAATTTAATAATTTAATCGATGGGATGCTTACAATTTATATATTTTTTGGATTTTCTGGGGAAATTGGTGCTTTTTTAAGATGCATTTGCTGTTTGCTCGCTGTTTTTATCATGATTGTGTCTGCTTTGTTCAGGTGATGTGGAACACACCCATTTGGTCAAAGGGTTGGATTATGCTTTGCTTAACAAAGTGAGGAGCGAGATTGATAAGAAGCCTGATGCTGGAGAAGATGCTGATGGAAAGTCGAGGTAATTAAATTTAATCCGATTTCATGTCAAAGGAAACCGATCTACGGCATTTGTAAGAGCTAGTTTAAAGCTTACTGGATAGCCTTCTGTTTAGCATATGGTTCCTTATTGTATGTACTAAATATACTGTCATTTTATTATAAGATCATCAACTTTTTTAGCCTTTAGAAGTTATTACTAATGTAAAGTACAATTTTCAGTTTTATAACTAATGGGCAATCGTTTTATTTAACTTTGAATTGCCCAAGTTGTCTGTTAGTTGTGCAGCTAATAATCTTGTAATTGCTTTATTAACAAATAGTTGTTCTGACAGAAAATCAAAGGAAGACCTGCAATTATCATTTCGCACAGCCACTGCAAAGGTGCAATAACTTTTTCATTTTGAGCTGTGGAATACTTTTTCCATTTAGTTTAGAAAAAAGTTGTTTGTTTATTGATTTTGGAAGCTGTTCATATTGATACCTCTCTCCTTTTTTTCAGTCAGTGTATCAATGGATAGTGAAGCCTCAAACTGTTATGAAGACAAATGAAATGTTCCTACCAGGTCGGATGGCATTTATTTTTAACATGGTGAGAATCTTAGGCATTTTCCTTCTGTTCTTATTATTTTAAGAGGAATAATCTGGACACTTTTCCATGCATGAACCTTGAGCATTTGCTGGTGTGATTGGTCCATGTTTACAAGCATACCTGCACATTGTCATGTTGTTAGATTGCAGGTCCTGGGAAGGCAGGACTACTTGTAGCATTTTCCTTATCATATAACTGCTCCACTTTAACAATGTATTGGTTCTTAGGCTGTTCACTTGCTGCTTAAATGCTTGTTCAACTTTGAAGAGAAAGCATCCATTTTAGATACTTCCTTTGAGGTTACTTTACAAGTATTTGGGACTATAATGGATAAATGTGCCAAGCTTTCATGAATAGCGTTGTGGAATTTCTTAATTTTAATTCTATAACTCCAATTTTCTGACTGAATTCTCCCTTATTTGTTTCAGGAGGGTGGTTATTTTAATGACATTCCAACTACCTTGCATAGGAGTAAAGCTGACTGTCCTGTGCCAGATGTCTGTATTTCCATAATTTCTTTGGCCAATTTCATTTTTATGTTAGATAGTGTTTCTGATTTTGATTACATTTTTCATGTGCAGGAAATGGTTACTGTCAACGTTGATGGCTCTGTACTTGATCGAATTGCTAAAATTCTGTCGTATCTTCGCCTTGGATCATCTGGGAAGGTTCTCAAAAAGAAAAAGAAGGAAAGAGATGCCAAAGGTGTGTGCTATATTTAGTTGTTTATTATAAGTTGGAGGCAAACTTTCTAATATGAGTTAGGTGTTGGATCAACAAATCCATATGTGGCATAATAGTTTTGTTTGTGACCTTATAGTTACTATTTTGTGTTCTTTTTAAATATATATATATTTTTATTTGCGTAACTAATATTTTCATTTCTCATTATAGGGAAGATTTTGTCTCTTGGAAATGAATATGATGAAGAGGACAAGCAGTCAATGCCTCTTGGTGGAATGTCTAATGGTATAACTGAAAAGGAAATATTGCCACCTCCTCCACCCATTCCGAGGAAAAATCAACTTGATTTGAGGGAGAAGCAAGGCCCAACTGTTGCTAGAGTGGAAGAGGATGACATATTTGTGGGGGATGGTGTTGACTATGATAGTCCTGTGAAAGATATGATCCCAAGCCCTCTTTCAGAGGATATGGAAGAGTCACCTCGGCATAAGGAAAGAGTTCCATATTTTGCTGAACCTGCTTATGGTCCAGTTCAACCCTCTGCAGCTCCTCAAGAATGGCAAGAACTGGTAAGCGTTTTGTAGTTATCATTCATTCTTTTTCTGAATGCAGGAGAAATGTGATGTGTAAAAGGTTGAAATTGAAACGTTATAGAATTATTTGGAGATCAAATAGTTCAAATTTCTCTAGCAATTCATATTTAGCTACTGAATTCTTTGTCAAAATTAAGTTCTTATGTCCTTTTGCTAAATTATTCGTTATTCTGTTTTGACTTTTTGGTTTCAGAATGGATATGATGCCTTGCAAACGCAGGCCTTAACTGGTGGATACCAAGGCGAGTGGCAGGACTACCAATATGCTGAGCAGTTGGCTTATTCTGAGCAATACCTTCAGGCTAACATGCAAGGTTATGAAGTACAAGCAGGATCAAACATTCCACAGGATCCACGATATATGACTCAAGAAGAGAAGGATCGGGGATTGGGATCTGTGTTCAAGCGGGATGACCAAAGGCTTCAACAATTGAGGGAGAAGGATGCTCGTGAGAAGGATCCTAATTTCATATCTGAGAGTTACTCTGAATGTTATCCAGGTTATCAGGAGTACAACCGTGAGATTGTAGACAGTGATAACGAAGATGACTTGTCAAAAATGGATATGGGAGCACGAGTAAGCCTAGGGTTTTCCCCTTAAAATTGAAAGTTCTTCTTCATTTAATTTGGTTTTAGTTAATACTGTTAAATGATTTCAACAGGCAAAGGGTCGTCTTCATCGGTGGGACTTTGAAACCGAAGAGGAATGGGCAACATACAATGAGCAGAAGGAAGCAATGCCAAAAGCTGCTTTCCAGTTTGGTGTGAAGATGCAAGATGGAAGGAAGACACGAAAGCAGAACAAGGACCAGAAGCTCAACAATGAGCTACACAAGATTAACAAAATACTTGCAAGAAAGAAGATGGAGAAAGATTCAGGTGGTGAAGGTGTACATAGCCATGATGTACAACCCGGAAAGAAGCTTCGGATATCAGGTTAAAAAGCTGCGGTTCCTTTCCCAAAAAGGTCAAAGGCTACTATTTCAATAACCAGATGTGACTTGTAATTTGTATGGAGAAGGGAGGTCATTTGCAAAGAGTGCAACTCATTCACCATCCATTCGGAGTGATGCAAAACGAACAGTCCATTAGTTTGGAGTGGTAGTCATTTTAGAACTCTGAGGTGGTTGCTTTGCTGACCATGGACAAGGTGCTTTGGTACCGTTTGTGCTTTGGCCATAATGATAGTAGGGAAAAGGGAACAATCGTCCGTCCACCATTGAGTGGCTAAAATTCTCTACTTTTTGGTCTGGAGTGGTGAATCTTAACTTTTAGAAATGTATTAACATTTTAACTAAATAGAAAAAACGGGCCAGTGTACTACTTTGTTTTCCTTTTAATCTATGCAAATGAATAGAGATCATAACTTTCATCAAAATGTTATCAAAAGAGTTGCATTATCTACCTTTTACTTATTTATTTTCTTTCTTTTTCAACTCATTTTAACAGTGAGAGATGAGTCATGGGACACTTCCCTCGACGCAATGCTAACATTGTTTAATCTGGAAATTATGTCAGACCAGAAACGATGAAACGATGTCCTTTAAATCAAATTTCAAAGGCAATTAATTCTTGTGTGTAATAGGACACTTTCGGAACTTAAATATTCAAACAAAAAAAAATCATTTTCCTCATTTATCATATTTATGCATATGTCAATAGACCAATCCGCAGGTTGAGTTACTCATCTAAGCCCACAGAATTCATACAGATAACCTTCCATCACCACAGGCAAACTCTGATTAATGAGTAGTTAAATAACCTCACTTGCCTCTAAATTACCATCTCCAAAACCAACAATGCAGTTGTAAAAAACAAAAAAAAAAGGTATACCAAATCATCTCTAGATCTGCAAGCAAAGCAAGAATAATTTAAATCAACACCGTAGCAGAAAGTACAATTCGATAGAATCACAGGCTTCTAGCATTCTAATAATTATACTATATGTATTTAAGTACAAAAGGGCATTGTCATTTAGATGGTTCCAAGATGAAAGGTTTACAGTTGTTTTTTTCTTTTTTTTTTCAGCTGATGTTGTGTGGTATTACATGCAGAATTTAGAAAACTAGAATCTTCCACTTCAAGCATTATTTTCTAAGTTTAATATAAGCCAAATGTAATAGGATTTTAAAATATACTTGTTTTAAACAAAAAGAGAACTAGGAATTGAATTTATTTATATGCTATGCCATAATCCCTTAATGAAACCAATGAGGATGTAGAATAGTGCATTAAAAATTTCAAGGAATATAACAATAAAGAAAATTTTTAACACATAATGATACCTGATAACTTAAGTTATCTTGATGTCTCGTAGAAGCCGTGCAGCCATTGAGCCGTATCTTCTTGCCTCCCATTCACTAAGCTTCCCATCAGGGAGTCTTGTTAGTGGCAGACAATTTTTCTTGATAATTTCACCATCCAAATCATCTATGTCAGAACTAATTCCACAGTTCTCTTCCTTGTCTGGACCTCTTTTGTTTGTTTCAACCTCATTAACTTGCTGGTCAATACCTTGAGTCTTCCTATCCAGCTTCTCTGTGCTAACAGCATTGTCTGCCTTCTCTGCAACAACAGCTGGGGGCTTTAGTCCCATAATGAAGATTTGAATACTTGGATGTTGGTACTTACTGTCCATCTGTATGGCATGAGTAAAAATTATACAACTTCAATGAGGGATAGAATTTCACTGCAATCAAAATTAGACAAACATCTTAATCTGAGGCTCAAACCTGCAGCTAGAATCAAGAACAGAAAAGTTTGACATATGTTTAATTCAAAATAAAGGAGGACCACCACTGAGTTGGTCATCAGCAATTCTATACACAAAGTTATTAACGAAGAATGATCATCTTGGCTATAATCAGTCTCTGAGTTGATAATAAAGCACAACATATAAAAAATCTTGAGGTCTTCCATTTCACATTTGAAAAGTGCATCAAATATGTACCTTGGCTTTTGGGACAATCTTCACTTCAAATAAATTTTTCCAGGTCTGAAGCATTTGCTCATGGACACTAGTAGATCTGATCTCATGACCCAACTAAAAAGAACATTTAAAAACAAAAATGTGTATTAATAACAAATTTTTCTATCACCAATAAAATCAATTTCAAATGGAAAATTAGAAAATGTATAATACCAGAATTGTGGTTTTGGAGCCTGATAATGCGATTATTGTCTGCAATAGAGGTCCCAAGAGATGCTCCGCATAAACCTTAAAAGGAAAAGAAGCATCAGTATCATATTTGCAACTATTCTACATCCAGTGTTATGTTACTATAAGAATAAATACAACACAGCCTGAATGACATCAAAATCTGGCTTACTAGCTCAGACGACAAGGGATATCCACAGTCTAAGGCTAAGAGAAGAGTCTATTGGCTCTTTATTGCAGAGGTGTCAAGTAATCAACAATTTTGGTAAGCAACAAATGAATGATTACATTGACAATAAAAAGTTCTCGGTCGTACTAATGTAAGGATAGAATTGCCACATCAATGACAGTTGGTTATCACTTTCAACATGGACCATCACTACACCATCCGAGATATTTTTCTGCAAAAATCTATGCATCTGGAAAACTTACAACATCTGTACCAATAATGTAGTCAAATGGTGGAGCAACAGCTTTTATGTGATCTTCATTTCCCCAGTCCAACTCTGCGACCTGAATTGATCCAAATGAATCTAAAACAAACATACCATCCACATGAGATAAAATTGCCATTCCATCATTAATTTCTCCAGTAGCATTGCTAGGTAGCTGAAAGGAGAACCCTCTATCTGACTGTTAAATAATTCTACTACTACTGAAGCCAAATTGTTCAGTCAAAATTAGTTATGGCACTTTGGTGGGCAAAAGAAAAAATAAATGAAACCTATACAAATCATATAAACTAAATTAGAAGAGCTGGACAAAGCACACCTGAATTAGAATTCATCTGCATAATTCTTGAAGTATTCCGTTCTACATTTCTCCTCAACAATGGCACAACCTCGATTTGGTCCGTAGAAACTACATCACATCCCAGCAATGCCATTCCTGGAAAGCAAAGTTGAGTCGGATTAAGCAGCAACCTACCGAATAATAATGCAGAGTCATAAAAGAGCTTCTGCACAACGAGACCATAAGTACTAAATGTACAGAATTATAAACTCACCAAATCCAGCGACTCCACAACCTGCTCCAAGTTCAACAACACGCTTTCCTTTGAGTTTGGATGGGCAAAATCTTCCCTTTCTGCAATTCTTTTCCTTAATAAAAAATGAAAGAATTCAGCATCATGAACTTTAATACAGAAAACTTGTCAGAGAAATAAAACATAAGATTGAGGCCTTTAAGTTCAATAGAAATAAATGAAAGGAAAATCTTGCCCGCGATTAAACACAAGTAAGTTGTAAGACCATAGAATATGCCTTGGGGTTTAGGTCACAATATACGCATTTCAGGTCTTACACAAAGCTGTTTGAAATTATTAAGAGAGGCCAGATAAAGATGGGTTAAAAGGTTGTTATATTCAAGCACTCTTGTCTGATAATATTCTCTCTTAACCAACCATTTAAGTCTTAAGAAGAATAAGTAGATTAATAGTTTCTTTAAACCATGTAAAGTTGACAATATAAACTCAATTCAACAACTTAAGAGTTAGAAACGTAATTAAAGAGCCATGAAAAGGGATTAAAATGAATACCAGAAATTTGGCAAACACCATTGATGTGTCCCAAACAGTTGTTCCTAAATGTTTGGAATTAGGATCCTGCCACGATGGGGAAAATTTTAGGAAATAATAACATAAGTACAACTACAAGGAAAAGCCTTGGAAACAAAAAAGGCACCATTAAATGATTCTCGGTAACAGAATCACAGAACCAACAAGCAGGAAGATGCATGATTGAAACACATAAACTCAAACAATAATTTCTTCCCCAGCCTCTCCAGTAAATTCAGGGAAGCTTGTTTCCTTTAACATTATTGTCCACAAACTTGACTAAAGTTTCTCACTTTGTAAGTAGCGGGAAAATAAATTGTTTTTGAGAGAATTAAAAAGAAAGAAAAGAAAAGAAAATTCCCTCATAACCATTCCCAGAAAGAACATTTGCATCAAACAGATTATCTTAGCATAAGATAGACTCTGAATGAACTGTAATGCATCCTAATGGGATATTGGCATCAAGTAGAGAATCATTCCATCCTACTTATAAATTATATTAACAAAGAATACCATCTTAAAAAAGATAATTAATTTGACATAACATGCAACCTCTCAAGAGACAAGATGAAAAATCACCTGGGAGAACTGTAGTTGATGACCCAATACTTCAAAAGTAATTACTGATGTACTTGGAGAATTCAACCTGACACAAAATATTTGCAAAATATTAAAAAAAAAAAAACCAACTTTTCTTTCAACAATTACAGGAAAGAAAAATGGTATTGATACCTGTCAGCCTCCATTTGATCAACGTTTTTCAAATAGAAGCAAAATCCCAAGTTCCCAACCGCCCAACCTTAACCCAAGACAACCTTAAACTTCCAGATACTTATTATCAACAACATTAGTTCTTCAATCTTCGATTTCCACGAGAATCAAAGTTTCTTTCCTTTTGGCTGCTTGAGATGTTGAGTTTCAGATTGTTATGCAAAGAAATCCGTGATGGTTTTTCATTCTACTCCATGCTTTGAAAGGGAAAAGCTTTTTCTGGCCCAATCCTAGAGCAAGCAGCCCACTCATTGATGTAAGAAACAATTTGGGCTTTCTCAGACACAAACATGGCTGGTTTATGAGCCAGGAATTTAGGCTCTAGAGGTCACCCATCGCAATTGAGCCCATAGAGTTTTATTTTATCATATTTCCCTTTTAATTTATATTCCCTAAGATTTCCGTTTGGGCGACTGTTTTATTTTTAGTCTGTCCGCGAACGGCATCCACCAGAAGCAAAAAACGACACGAAAAATCCCGTCTTTTCTGCTTCTTACTTTTTTATATCATTAAGGATTGAAGATTAAAGGTTAAAGGATACAAAATCAAGGATTCCAATCCGATATCCCTAATTCCCCATATGCATACAAAGAGGTATAAACTTTATCCCAATTTTTATTTTTATTTTCCGCCTTAAAAGAAGAAATAAAGATTGAAAAATTGACATCTTGAAACCTAATTAGCAGAGTGATTGTAATTTTGTGAAACAATTCCGTTTGATTTATGGCATAGGAAAAGAAAAAAAATTTATACTATGAAAAATTTATTGTGTCCTCTCTTTTTTGTTGGGGAAATTTATCTATTTCGTGACTTAATTTGCCAAAAATTTGCAATTATTTGTTATTTAGGGTTTTTAATAGACGGCTAAGAGGGAATTGTAGTGAAATTGCTCGTTGAAATTGGGAATCAGGCTTTTGGTGGTGTGATTGCATGGCAAACTTTGAGGGTAGCGTTTCGTATTCTTCCCTTTCAAAGCTAGAAAAGGGGAATAATAACGCGTATCAATTTGATGATGATTACAGGGATGCTATTTGTACTGTGCCAGAAGACAAAAGTATTGTCCCATTAGGCTCAAAGTCGATGAAAAAAGATTACCTTTATCAGTTTCCGGATGAATCTGATGATTTTATTGATGGAGGATATGATTTGGGTGATGATGTCTGTAAGTCAATGGGAAATGGCTTGCATCCAGAGGTGAACTTGAAGAATGTGTTGAGTGGGTTATTTGCAATCATAACTGGGTGTAATAAAGGTTCCCCGAGTGTTTCTGTGAATCAGCAGTACCAAAGCTCTAATGTTTCATTTCTGGGGTCCGAAAAGAATGGAGATACCTATTTACACTCCTCTGTTTATATCCCAAGTGCCCCACCACTTCTGGAGCCAAATGGGATAAATTATAATGCATATAAAGAGGTGTTGGAAGCTGAGCCTCCGGAGTGGCTTCCAGATAGTTCTGCCACAGTTTGCATGCAGTGCGGTTTTCCCTTTACTGCAATTACACGTGGTAGACATCATTGCCGGTTTTGTGGAGGGATTTTCTGCAGAGCATGTTCTAAGGGAAGGTGCTTGCTACCTGTTAAATTTAGGGAAAGAAATCCGCAGAGGGTGTGTGATTCTTGCTATGATAGGCTTGATCCGTTGCAGGGTGTTCTTATTAACTCCATTAGCAATGCTGTGCAAGTAGCAAAACATGACGTCATGGATTGGACGTGTACATGGGGTTGGTTGAACTTGCCAGTTGGTTTGTCCATGGAGCATGAGATCTACAAAGCAACCAACACCTTGAAAAGCTATTGCCAGGTATGATCCTAATTTTCATTATTCATAAGAGACAATAGTTTTGTTTGTTTAAAGCTGTTGCCGGTGCTTGAGCTTAAAAAATCAAGTTAAACTAGTTTCATATATATTGGAGCTATATAATGACTATATTTTGACACTGAGAAGCTTGTAATAAAAGTTATTGAAATGGACAGGTTGCTAGGTTGAATCCAGAGAGATCTATACCATTGGCAGTTCTGAAAAGAGCCAAAGGCTTAGCTATTTTAACTGTTGTTAAAGCTGGAGTCCTTGTTGCGTACAAACTTGGGACTGGTCTTGTTATTGCTCGAAGGTCAGATGGAACATGGTCTGCCCCATCAGCTATATTCTCTGTTGGTTTAGGATGGGGGGCTCAGGTAAACTTTCTACTGAGAAAAATATATACCTGTGCAAGCAGATATACACATCTAGGCTGCTAAGGATCAACTGCCTTCCAAGTTCCAAAGTATTTATATGTATAATCTATTAACTAAATGTTATTTTTATTCGTTTCTTAGATTGGGGGTGAGCTCATGGATTTCATAATTGTTCTTCACGATTCAAAAGCAGTGAAGACATTTTGTAGTCGAATGCATTTTTCTCTTGGTGCTGGCTGCAGTGCTGCTGCAGGACCTGTTGGGAGGGTGCTGGAAGCTGATCTTCGAGCCGGGGATAGAGGCTCCGGCATGTGCTACACTTACAGTTGTAGCAAGGGTATTCCATCCTGCAATATATTTGCATTCTTCTTTTGACTAGTTTGTGGATTTGACAATCTATTTTGTTGTAAAATTTGCAGGGGCATTTGTCGGAGTGTCATTGGAAGGGAACATTGTTGCAACAAGAATGGATACCAACCTACGTTTCTATGGTGATCCTTATCTCACCACTGCTGACATACTACTTGGGATCATGGACAGACCAAAGGCTGCTGAGCCCTTGTATGTTGCTCTGGATGACCTATACTCTAGCCTGCATTGTTAGTTCCAGCACCATTGGGTACAGTATCTTGCTGCAGCCTGTGAAACAAGTAACAACTTGACTACATGGTGCAGTTCTTGCCCTGGATGATCGGTGACCGTACAGCATATACTTGCCTTTCATATTTATGTGCATGCGGATGAAGGAATGTTATTTCATGGACAAATAGCTTTTATTCGTTTCTTCTGTCCATTTATAAACCAAATTTCGCATTGATTCAAATATGCATCTACATTTGTCTAACAAACCAGTCAATTACCATGTAAATATTATTTATTCTTGTGAAATTCTATACAGAGAAATGTGTGATAATTTGTTTTTCTGTGCTTGATTCAATAATTTGTATATAGGAGCTATTAATTTAAACTGTGGAAGGCTTTCTTTGTTCCTTGTTTTTTCTCTCCCTTTGGTCCCTTTTCTCTATGTTCTGCCTTTTTCTTTTCTCCCTTGGATTTGGCATGACAAGCAGCGTGGGGGAAGTTGCGTTTCAAATATGTACATATAATGCAGACCTCATTGGTGAATGTAAGAACATGCAGATTTATACATTCAGTCAATTATTCTATTTAAGAAAATGATTCATCTTTTGTTGATGTAATAAACCGCAACCTTGCGTATCTAGGCGTTGTCCCCATTTATTTTGTACTTCCATTGCCATGAGTAGCCAACCCCAACCAACCACGCCATCTAAAAGTCCAAGCAGAGCTAGGCTTCTGTAGCCATTAGCCATCTCCCTAGCTGGAATGGGATTCTGTGTTTGCATTATCCATCCTGGTATCGTCCCAGTTTTCATCCATCCCATCCCCTAGGGCATCGGGTCGGGTTCGGGCGGTTTTGCTCGCCCCGAACCGACCGATTTAAGCTTTATTAAACCCGAACCCGACCCTACCCGAAAAATTTTTTTGATTTTTCAACCCGAACCCACCCGACCCCCGAACCACGCAACCGTACCCGACCCGACCCGACCCGAAATTAATAAAATATTATTTTTTAAAATATAAAATATTATTTTTTTTAAATATAAATATTTAAAAATATCATTATATAAATATATATATAATAAAAATTAATAATTAATAAAAAATAATTTTTATATAATATGGGTCGGGTCGGGTCGGGTTTTAGGCAAACCCGACCCCGACCCGACCCCGACTGTTTTCTTATTTACCGACCCCGAAACCCGAATTTCAAACAAAAAACCCGACCCCGTGAGGTCGGGTCGGGCCGGAACCCGTCGGGGACGGGTTAACTGGCCATCCCATCCCCTACCAATAAAGAGTTCATATCGAAACACCATGGAGTTAATCTACTTGGATTAGCCTAAGCGCCAATAAACAACACACATTGAGTCAAAGAAATATGCCAAAAACAGCATGACAGCTTCTGCATCCCATCAGCACAACCAAAACAAACAGAATCTTTTAATAAATAATAGTTGGCAAAGTGCTCGTTAACATGGTCGAAGAGAACACAAAATATATCCTACAGTTAACTCTTCTTTACCTCTGTTATGGAGAATACAAAATACTGGGGGGAAAATTGGGGGCCTGGATAATGGCATGTTCTATATATGAGAACAACAATGGGGATACAATACAATAATTACATTCCTATTATAGTGCGTTATCTTATGCATTATATTGAGAAAGAAAAAGAAAATAAAACTAACAGAGACATATTTCTAAGTTGGAAAAAGAAAGGGGGTGTTGGTAATCTAAAGTGAGAGTCAAAGTTTGTCAATAACCATTCACAGTTTTTTGGGGTTTCTTCTTGAAATTTGAGATGCTGCAGTGTGGACAAACGTACTCCAGCCCATCTGTTTTTGCATAATCCTGCCATTTGGAAGATAAATATCAAGTTAATTGTGCAATAAAATAGGTCAGCAGAGCAAACAGAACATGGGGAACAAAATAAACTCAAATTTGCAAACAATGACATCACTATTCACTATTAGGTCCTGAAGACAGGTATGAAACAAATTTTTAGTCACTCCAGCAAACGCCTGTTGCTCTCATCCAAAACAATACCAAATATAGCTTTGTTACTGATGCTGGTTTTATTTATAGATTTATAGATCACTTGAACCTATCAACATTTATCTCTTGACAAGAAAAACTTGAGAAGGCATACCTTAAAGGCTCCAAGCCCCTGCCGCCTATCACAGCCAAAGTGAGCCCACTCACCACAAATTCCACAGTTTACCCAGTCACCTGCTGCACTACTGTTGCCACATGAAAACTCTCCAGTATCAGTACTGCAGACAGTTCTGTATATGTGCAAATTCACTATGTATGTGTGCAAACAGGTGCATGAGAGAGAGAGAGAGACCTGTGACACAACAAGCAGCATTCTCCATCCACATCATCATGAGCCAATTCATACTCTAAAAGGTAAGTCTCATAATGTCTTTTCAGAGTGTTGCCCACTCCCTAGGTAGTTAGAGGAAAAGGAACCAATAAGTTGTCAAGAAATTAGAAAGTTTCTATGACAACAGGCTAAAACTAAATAAGAAACAACAAATAACAAAAAGCATAAGAGTGGAAAACACTAAAATTTTATTTAAAGAAATTAAGGATCAAAAGAAAGAAAAATTGAGACAATGACAGGATTTAGCATTTTTAGTGAAGCTCTACAAAAATGGCAAACTGTCTTTGAAGTTATGCTTTTCACATCAACAAAAGTATTATCACAAAAGAAAACTATAAGGCTAACAACTTGAAAACATACCGTCATTCTATTTGTCATTGTGTGATTGCGCATCTTTGAAAAAACCTGTCCCTTCCAATTTATGCCATTTCCAACATGAAAGCCTCCTCTTGACACCACCTGTAAGGTCCAATATTTCAATACAAATTTTCTACCAGATTTTCAATCATATTTAGCACAAACAATAGCTTACCTCTCTATACAAGTTAAAAAGGTCAAGACGCTTCGCATTCAGAATGGCATCAGGAAACTCGGCTAACCCTCCTTGAGGAACAAGACGAGTATGTCCCCGAAGAATCAGAAACTGCATTACGTCTCTCAAAAATTCTTCCTGCAAGAAAATAAACCAGAAGGAGAAAAAGAAAATGATAGAAAAAAAACTTCAATAAACACTTCTCTGGTTGCATAATAAAATTGACCCAAACCCCTATCTTTGTTCATCATGACAAAGAAAAGCAGATCGAGAGAGAGGTATAGCAGAGAAGAAAACCACAATTTTTTAAATTAGTTTGATTTAATCTCTCATATACATAAACTATTAAGCATAAATGATTATTAAGCATAAATGATTAGCATATTGAAAAAAATAAAGTTCGGATTTAATGCAAAAATAGATTATAATTTTCCTCATCTTCAGCAAATAACTAGAGAATGATCCAGCCAAATTATTGCAGGGGCAGAGGTAAAAGAAACCATATTGAAAAGAAAATTACAAAGCTGATTCTGAACAGTCAACCATTTTTCTTTAAATGCTTCATTTTCAGACAGGAAGTTAATCTCTGTACTAGAGCATACAATAACCTATTACACCAGAAAGCAATATATAGCTTTGTTAATCATATTTTTCCTAATTCCTGTGGCATGCATGTCCTATCAGCTATAGTAGATAAAAACTTGTAAACTTAGAGAAGAATATCCATTATAGGCATATGCATCTCAGAACAGATCATAAGCCTGCACTATACTATGTAAATAAACTCCACATGTGGAGACCATATTGGCAAATTCTCAAATCAAACTCTAGGAAGATGACTAACCTCTGAGCAAACCTGTATTGGGGCTCTACCACAACCATGTTTCTTAAGAGGTAATGGATTTAAAGAAATAATCTGCTGGGCCTGATAAGAACTGGACAATGCTTTCCGATGTGTAGCAGGAGCGGGTTGCTTCACAGTAACTACTGGTAAGTTAACCTTTCCTTGGTCACCATCATATCTCTCAGCCTCAGAAAATCCAGAAAAGGGAAGCATCTTATGACGATGGGTGTGAGGAATTGGCCTCATAACAGCAACATTTGGTTTTGGTCTAGCATTGCCATTTACACCTTCCATGATAGTACAGTTTAGATATTTAGTGTCTTTACATGGCTCTGATCTTTTACGACAAGGTGCTGGAGGCACCAACCAACTGGGAGATCTGGCAATTACAGAACTATCCCAGAGGGGATCTTTGCCCTGCCTCGTGCAAAAGAAAAGCAGGCGCTCAGCATCATCTTTTTCAAAAGAAGCAACCGACAACCCTTGAATACTAGCAATCCCCAGCATGACTAAGCTGCGGTAAGATACATCTGGGGCAAGTTGCCTCAAAACCTGTTAAGCCATTCCAAGAAACAGATCATGGATTACTAACATAATTACCATCATGAAAAAGGCTTCATAAGTATTTCTCAAAGCATAATTCAGTAAAAGTTTTTCCTTCAAATGTTTATTCATACCTCTGATGAAGTTTATAGTAAAAAAAAGCATACAAAAGAGTTAACAAAAACATGCAACAGACATGGATGAAACATACAAGCAGGTGAATAAAGAGATAGAAAAGTTTCTGAGAAAGAATAAAATGATTAAAGAGAAAATCAGACCTGTGAAGCCCATGTGGGAACCTTCATGCACACTTCAAACACACTCGCTCCACATGCAATTGAGGCTGATCTACGAGGCTCAGATGAAGGCAACTTGCTGTCCTCAGAACTTGACAGAGCATGGACTAGCTGACTCTTCTCGATTAGCACATTTTTTATATGATTTTCCAAGAGCTGAGACAACAAAACAAGGAATAAGGAAACAAGAGTTTCAGACGTGAACTTAAAGTAACAACAATAGCAATTAACCCGATCAAAATTACTTACTTGATCATTAAAACAAGTCTGTGCGCTACCAGACACTAAAAGTGATAAGTGAGCCAAACTACAGGTTGAAAGATCACAACGCATGGTAACTACACCACGAGAAAATGTCCCGGCCTGAAGAGGTGGTGGTGGAGCACTATAAGAAAAAATGCTGTTAGCATGTTGATGATAATGTCACAAAAGAAACTTGGAGGTAGCTGTAGTATGACGAATGGGAAATCCATAAAAGAAAAGATCAAAGTCACAAACACTCAACCTCAAAACCTGAACAAAGCCAGAAATCCCCCCTACCAAAAGAAATTGTAACTAAGCTCAAAGTTATCAATACCTTGCACGGTTATGGAGTTTGCTCCCACGTATCTGAAACAAATGCCATAGTGAATCTAGTTAATAAGTGGATAAAACATATTCAAAGTACTAGCACAGATGATGCTCACATACACAACACACTACAAATATATAATCATGGGAATATATGGCGCTCTTCTCCCATGTGAGTATGAACATCAAATTAATTGCATATATGCATGGATTATCATGTCATTAGGCCCTATTACAGTAAAGCCATTGCCTGTGGACCCACATGCAGCTAAATTTGAGGGAATGTGCAGTACAATATTGATCTCATTCATAAATTTTTCTTATGCTATTTTGATTATCAAGGTGATGATGATATGTGCGCCCCTGCTAATTGGTGTTGATCCTTTTAAAATGTCAGTTTGCTGATCTTTTCATGCTAAACGAAATTTTGCAAAGGAGAATGCCCACACCATTATTGTGCTCAGAAAGACTGTATGGCGAACAAAAAATCTAATAGGATTATCATTTGAAACCTTTAGGAAGAGAGGATGGAGATGTAAAACTTTTAAGGCAAAAGGGAGGGTAGGATAGAGGATCTCGTGCTATCATCAGCATTAAAAACTCACCAGGGGTTACTCTAACCAAATCTAGATGCAGCTATAACTAATATAATCTCATAGATGAAGATGTTCAAAACATGGTAGTACAAACAAACATATAAGCCAAAACAATTGTATGAACTTACTTCTACGCTTAAGAGGGCATTCAGTCCATCTTCCAAAGATCCCAATAGGGATGCATCCTGCAGGGCATACAGTAAATAACCAATATAAACCAGGATGAACAAAATATCAGTTTATGATTATTGTTTCAAACAACTAAAACTTAAACCTACCAAGACACGTGGTGATCCACAAACAAGAAACCTCATAGTCACATCATCATCATATATCTTTATGGCGGGAAGATTTTCAAGACAGCCTTCTTCCTCTTGCGTATCTACCTCTGGTTGAGAAACATCAATCTTGGGAGGCTCCCCCAGCAGACACGGTCCTGGCTTAACACTTTGTTTCTGACTATTAGAAGAGACAGCATTATTGTTCCACACACAGTACAGTCTAAAAGAGGCATGGGCAAGTTGGAATGCATCCCATGTATGGCTACATGAACTGCAATAGACCAATACTGCAGAATTTTAGTATTGTCTCCAAGTAAAATTTCTTCTAGATTGTAGATAATACTTCAGAAAGCCTTCAAATAGGTGAAGTCATCTAAAATGAAGTGCATAAATTTGCATTATCAACCAATTCCCAAAATTAACAGCAGTAGCAGCAACCTCTCAGGAAAATTAACGCACTATGACCACTATTCAGGAAGGTCGAGAAAACTGGTCATACATTATCTATAATGGGCAGAAGTAGAAGATCGTACCTTTGTATCACTGATAACATTGCTTGACAAAAATGGCAAGCTGCATATCGCGAGAATGTATTTTTCCAATATATAACATAAGGGATTCCCTGCCAAGGAGAAATGAATGTCAACAACTTTTATAAGAACATGAAGTACGGGCTTCAAATCATTTGCCCGTGACCGTGATCAATAATTTTACCTTGGAGTGAAGTGCCTCAGCCAATTTGTCACCATTGGGTGTCTCTAAATAAACCTGCACAAACATTTGAGAATAGATTAATACAACATATATAGCAAACTTCAAAAAAGCACTGAAACCTGCAAAACTTATAAAAGGAAGTCACAAAACAAAAAGGTAACAAATATATGCAAAAAGAACTTAAAAGGGAAAAGATAAAAAAGAAAAAAAAAATCAATCTATCTCTCGCATCTTATGTATAATTTCAGGGAGAATGAGATCAAATTATAAACTCTATGCAACAACTATTATAACAGAATCATGCATCACTAACAGTGGTAGGCAATGTGGAACCAAAGAGTCCACATAAAGCTTCTGGAGTGGACAAATCAACATCTCCCCAAATCAGAGAGCCAATTGCTTCACTATCTGCATTCTGCTCTCCTTGCAAGTAGACAATATTCGGCTCTGACGATTCGAGAACCCGCCAGAACTCATCAATGCTAGGATTGTTAAGAAGCTGAACCTGCACTCACACACATGAAAATGTCACAACTTCATAATAAATTTCTGCTACAATTTCCAAATTTTTAAAAATGTAGAATTATTAACATGATTTATATACCTCAAGGCGCCCTGAAGAAGCAAGCTCTGGAAACGGGTATCTAGGCTTATCATCAGAAACTGGCTGCTTCTCTTTATTATCAGAAACTTTACCACCACAAAGAACTGCAAGGAGGCTGCAATGGTTCCTTGAAGACCCTTGAGAACTAAACATCATGCAAACATGCCAGACCCAACAAAACTCAAACTTGTCACTAAGTATAAGGCACCAATGCCTCCTTTTAAGAAACTCCAAAAACTTAAAACACTACTGTGAAATCAAATCAAAACCCCAAAGAGCTTGCTGCAAATTTGATAACTCAAAAATCCACCTCTCAAAATCTCTGGAGTTTCCCAAAATTCTACCAGAGAGCGAAAAGGAACTTCCTTCTGTATTTGCAGACACTTCAAAATCCCTTAAAATCAAAGTTCGAGACTTAAAAATTTGAAGAAAACCCACCTACTCAGATGAGATTAGCAAGTGAATTGGGAACCCAAATGAGCAAAATTACCAAAGCAGACCAGCATCCCGAGAAAAAAACCCAATAAATAGAAGCAAGCAAACCCTCCCAAAGAACAAAAATCGGAAAGTAAAAAAAAAAAGGAACCCTAACTTTAAGAAGACTCACTCAATATCAAATAAATCTCAAATAAAAACCCTGAAAGGACGCACCCCCTTTGAAAAAAAAAAAAAACCAAAATCAAAATCCGCTAAAAATCAAAGTCACGCAACAAGTTATTGCAACTAAAAAATAAAATCAAACAGCCCAGCCCTCCTTTATTTTCTCTTTGTTGTCAGTTTGTTTTTTAATAACTACAGTTTCCTTATCCCAATCACATTCGTGTATATCGAATCAAGTCAAAAACAAAAAAGCCATTTCATGAACCGTTTGATCAGGAAACCCACCAAAAATACAAAAAAAAGAAAATCCATTTGTTAATTAAATTCTAATTGACTTTTTTTTTTTTATTAATCTGCTTCTTTCCCGATTGTTTGATGTTAAAAGCCTAACAATAACATCATGTGCTTCAAAAGATATCATTACTGCTACGTTATACTTATTCGCAAACTTCAAAAGGGCATCTCCTTTTCTTTTTCAGGACTTTGATTTGGACAGAGATTAAGGAACTGGTTGGTTCTGTTCTCATTGTCCAACGTTGTTATTATCATCTAGATGATCATGATCATGATCATCATCAACAATCTTTTGCTTTGGAGTTTGGATCAAATGACATTATTTTTAAAGTTCGGTCCTTCTTATTTTAACAGAATTTTAAATGAATTTAAAACCCAAAAAAAAAAAAAAATCAACAGGGATGTTTTCAAGTAATGTTCTTGGTTAGTTCATTGTAGAACTGCTCCCTTTATAAAAACTGGGACCCAGTTGCCAGGGCTTGACGGCCTTTTTCTTCGCTCTTGTCTTGATTTATGCTGAAAACGACTCGTCTTGTCTGTCTGATTCCTGTGTTAATGTTTTTCCTCAACTTGAAATATTGGGCACTGTTTCAAAATGCGTCAAGATCATGGTACTTATTACTAACAATCAATCTAGACCAACCCATTCTCATGTAAGAAATGTTCCATTTCTTGGCTTTTCTACCATCTTCCTCATTTATTCCTTGGCATTTCTTCCTTGCTTTATGTTTCCAAAGATACATAAATTTTTTTAATGAACTTATTATGACAGGAATAGATTTTTGGGTTTTTCGTTTGAGCATTTGTGCGGGCGCACTTAGTCCACAAGATGTTCTTGAAAACCCAGTTGCCGAAGTTTCTTCCGTCTCTGACCCAGCTTGGATGCAATTACATTTTTAGTGAAGTATAATTAAATTTTAATTATCATTAATTAAATTTAAATATTAATTTTAATAAAATTTTTAATCTCCTCAATTAATTTTTTGACCCTAACTTACTTAGGCCAATAAACTAAAAAGCGCAAGCCGGAAGCCGCTGCTCTCACGTTCTAACGCCCGAGTATGTGCACGGATCGTTGACTTTTCGTGCAGAGGACAGGTAAAGTTAAGATCTTTCGTTATTTTTCCTTTATCTTCCATTTTCCTCGGAACCTTTTTTTTTTTTTTTTTTTTTGGCCTTTCCGGCTTTTCTGTAGCAGAAAAGGAAAGCAGGAAAGGAGTTGAGAATTTAAATTTTTTAAAAAGTAATTTATCCAAATTTAATTTTAAATTAAAATAACAATATTTGTATAATTTTAAATATATATATGTATAATTTTAAATTGAGATAAAATATATTTTTTTATTTTAAATCATAGAAAAATAAAGATAAAAAAATTGATAAATAAGAGTAATTCAATCAAAATTTTTATTTATTTAAATTTATATAAATAGTGATATACAAGGTGTATGATTTTTTATTCTTCTTAAATTTAGTGATTTAACCTTAAAAATTATTTGAAATTTGTATTTTATACACATATGTAAAAGTGAAGTACGAGATATATTTTTTCAGATTTAATTTAAGATAAATCTCACATATTTTGAAATATTTAGATAAATATAAATTTTAAAATTTTTAAAAATTAAATAATTAATGGAATGAAATTATTTAAAATAATCTTATGTATCAATGTTGTTCACGTAAATGTTTATATAAACAAATTTTATTAAATTTATATATTATAATATAATATTATATATAATATATGATTTTAATTAAAATTTGAATTAATACATTTAGACAAATTAACACATCTTTAAATTCATTCACAAAAATAATCAGATTTAACAGCTTTAACATATTAAAAAAAAGCTTATTACTCATACATTAAGATGATAGCATAAAAAATTAAGTATTTACTATATTTATAACATGTGATCGTATTAGAAAATTTTTTTTGAAATTATATATGTAAAATACATTTTTTTAGAAAGATTTTACTATTTTTTTTTGTTTGTTTCATGTCTCAATCTATAAGCACGAAGAAAAATAAGATTAATACAAGATAAGTGAATGTTTGCAGGGAGTTTAGGTATAGAATTTCCAAGACAATAATGTGATAATTTCAATTTTGTTCATAAAAAAAAAAGGTAATAATGTAAGCTATCATTATTTTTATATTTTTTGAAGAAAAACTTTATAGTATTATATGTAAAAAGAAAATAAGAAGAAAATAAACGAGCGCAGACTTCGCAAGAAAAGCAAAAAAGGCGAAACGGGAAACCGAAAATAAAAAAATATAAAAAAAAAGAAGAAAATAAGAAGGTAGACTTCTTTCTTTTATAAAATTTAATTTTTTTTATTTTTTTTTAATTTATTCATTTTCTTTTTGAAAAAATTAAATCGTGTATATTTCTTTTCATTTTTCATCACTGCCATCAATTTTACCACGAAATTAAGTCTGGCGGTTAACGGCTTTTGACTTAGGTTCTTCTCTGTTTGGCAGTTTCAATGTAATTTTTTTTTTATTATACAAGTAGTAATTTAACATGTTAATCGAGTTTTAATCAATTAAACGAGCAATTCAGTTTGCTTGCTGAGTTTTTCCGTTGCTAGAGGATCCAATTGAACTTTTAATCCGATTAAATCGTGTTTTGTTTTCCGAGAATTAGCTGATTAAATGGGTTCTTCAGTATCAGTTTATTAAAATTTGAATTTCGTGATTTATTGGATCGAGCAGTGAAGAGAAGTTACCACTGTAACTGAAGTAGAAGAAAAAGCAGAAGAGATTGGAATTTTGGGCTTTAGGATATTGGAATTTGAGGTGCTAGTATTCCCGGTAATAATAATTTTTATTTTTATTATTATTTTCTGTTAATAATTAATGTTATGCTTTTCGTGTAATTGTAAATTAGTTGCTCAAACATGTTAAATTTATTTTTTTTAGTAAAGTCAATTCCAATCTAAGCTTTCCTTCCACTTTCGATTAATTCTGTTTAGATTCATAAGTTTTAGAGTAGTGGTTTCTGGTGGAACTTTTTATTTTTAATTTGTTGTGATTTTGAATCTTTTGAAATTGCCAAGGTATTGGGGGTAGTGTATTTTGGCGGTTGTGGTTTTGAGAGTGGTAAATGAATGAATCATGATGACTGGGATCAGGTGGGATAGTTGTCGATGGACATCCTTGACAACAAACTATCTGACCTGGTTGACTTAGTTAAGTCGTGGATCCCTAGGAGGAGTGAGCCGCCAAATGTATCCAGAGATTTTTGGATGCCTTATCATAGTTGTAGGGCATGCTACGAGTGTGACTCCCAATTTACATTATTTAATCGGAGGCATCATTGTCGACTTTGTGGCCGAGTTTTCTGTGCCAAGTGTACTGCAAACTCGGTTCCTGCCTCATTTGATGAGCCACAGGTTGGTCGGGAAGTTTGAGAAAGGATTAGGGTATGCAATTATTGCTTCAAGCAATGGGAGCAGGGATAGCAGTTGTCAATAATGGGACCAAAGCACCTACTCCTGGTCTCAGTCCATCACCATCTGCAACAAGTTTGGCCAGTACCAAGTCCAGCTGCGCATGTAATGGTAGCAGCAGTACTGTTAGTTCTACTCCATGTTCAACTGGACCATATCACTGTGTGAATTATAATTCTGGTCTAAGCCCTCGTGAATCTGCCCGGATGAATGCACCCGCTGAACAAAACAACGAGACATTTGGGACAACCACAAATCCAAGTCCATCTGCAGTAGATTCTTCTTCAAACCATTTTGGCTTTTGTGGTAACAGGTACCTTCCCCTTGCTAACGTATTTTTGAGCAAACAAGAACTGATTTTGCCTATCTAACTCTGGAATTTCACATTCCTTTGCATACTTTGTTTTCAGTGCTTGTTGGGAGGGGGGAGAGGTAAGGCTTTTAGCAATGCATCCTTCATAATCTAGATTGTGTCTAGATGAGTCATTACTTCATGCTCAATATTTTTGTGTTACCCTGTCAATTCATGTTCAAATTACACAGCATGTCTTGACTGGAATACATAATCTTGGGTTCTCATGCTTTTAATTTATGATTTTTGGTACTGATAAATACTTATTATTTTCTTAACTATTGGTTCCAGGAGTGATGATGAAGGTGATGATTATGGTGCATATCGTTCAGATTCAGAATCAAGGCATTATGCTAATGCTGAAGTCTATGATGCTGCAATCAATATTAATGAAATTGACCGTGTTTATGGATAAGATAAAGTGCATCCTGATGGAAAGAACGTTAATGCAAAAACTTTGAGTGGTTCTCCATTAGCTGAGAAATTTGATACATGCAGTGTGGATGGAATCAAGAAATTTGAAGAAGTAAATGAGCAAGAGAATGCTGATGAGGGTGAAGCTCCTGTTTATGATGTGGGTGGTACAGATGCTGAGCCTGTGGATTTTGAGAACAATGGGCTATTATGGCTCCCTCCAGAGCCTGAGGATGAGAGAGAAGCTTCTCTATTTGACGACAACGACGATGACGAGGGTGCTACAGGGGAGTGGCGATATTTACGCTCTTCAAATAGCTTTGGCAGTGGGGAGTACCATAGTAGGGATAAGTTGGGTGAGGAGCACAGGCGGGCCATGAAAAATGCGGTGGAAGGACATTTTAGAGCTTTGGTAGCTCAGCTTTTGCAGGTTGAAAACCTCCCTGTGGGTGATGAGGATGGCGGAGAGAGTTGGTTGGATATAATCACATTTTTGTCATGGGAAGCTGCAACACTTCTGAAGCCAGATACAAGCCAGGGAGGAGGAATGGATCCTGGAGGATATGTGAAGTTAAATGCATAGCTTCTGGGCGTTGCAATGAAAGGTAATATCACTGAACTCAATTTGCAAATTTGTTAATTATACTGCTAAAATAATGCAACTTCACCTGTTTTCATTGAGCACCTTCAGAATAGTTCATAATTTTTAGCATGTGGCAGCTAACAGAACAATGAAAAAAATTACGTTTTGTTGTTAGTGATCAATTCTATTATTGATTTCATGACAGTTAATTGTGTTTCATGGCATGAGCATTCAACTCATTTGGTCTTGAAAATATTTAGTTGTTGCATTGTTTGATATACTTCCAGTTTCTGCATAATTTCTATGTCAAAGGTTGATATTTCCCAGTATACCAAATGGTTCATATTCTTTTCCTCCTACTGTTGATGGGCACAGGTAGCAATTCTTTGAATTTCTTGTGCATTAACATATGCCTGAAGTTCTTTCTGCAATGACATCTCTTCACATATCTGATCAGCTATCATTTCTGATTTTTCCTCATATTTGTAGCTGACTATTCATTGTGATTCTAGGTGTTCATCTGAAGCAACCGAGAAAGAATAATCTGGAGAGATATTTTACTTCTTTTGGGTGGTAGTGATGTGCATTGGTCTTGGTAGAAAAGAAAGTACAATTAATAATTTTTGCAAATGTTTTGCCAAACTAAGGCTTTTTAGGTTTTGTAGTTCTTGTTTCTATGTACCATTTAATTATGCTGAAGGGATTCTTAATTTTTTTAATAACTTTTTTCTAGTGCTGTGGTTAAAGGAGTTGTTTGTAAGAAAAATGTGGCTCATCGGCAAATGATATCAAAGTTAGAAAAACCTCGTTTACTAATCCTTGGAGGAGCTTTGGAATACCAGCGCATTTCTAACCACTTGTCAAGTTTTGATACATTGTTACAGCAGGTTTGTATTTTTGACTGTTTCCTTCTACTTTGGTTTGTTAATTAACCCTAGATTCCTAATAAGGGTCAAAACCAGGAGATTTTCTTTTGATGCCCACTTTCTAGAACAATGAGGCAATTAAGTCTAATGTGTGTTTTTATGAGCTAACGCTCCTTTTCAGGAAATGGACCATT